TGTAGGCGAACTAAAACCAGAGAAGGGTACTGGAGGAGGAAAATATAATTTGCAAAAATGGGAAAGAGGGGACAGTATTGAGATGTCATTAAGGTGCTATATTTGGTAAGGAGTGTGAAAAAGTAATGTCTTGGTAAGTCAATATTATGCACAGTTTTGATTTATTTTTCTGGCACTTTTGCAATGTTTCTTATCACTTTTCAGTCCGAACTAAAACCAGAGAAGGGTACTGGAGGAGGAAAATATAATTTGCAAAAATGGGAAAGAGGGGACAGTATTGAGATGTCATTAAGGTGCTATATTTGGTAAGGAGTGTGAAAAAGTAATGTCTTGGTAAGTCAATATTATGCACAGTTTTGATTTATTTTTCTGGCACTTTTGCAATGTTTCTTATCACTTTTCAGTCCATTCAAAACTGTCATTGCTGCTTTAATAAAATATAGCAACTTTACCTTACAAAAATATAGCAACTTACAATACAACCTTATGTTTCTAGGAAATGTGAGTTTGTGTGGAATTACAGATAATTGTGTGGGTTAGGTACAAAAGCAGAAATGGTTTGCCTTACGTTTTCTGATGCGTTTTTCACAATTAGGTACCAGAGCACAAAATTTACTTTTAAATGGAAGCATTTTAATTAATAAACTTTCTTTCAACTTCTCCCTCTCCTGTAGTGTCACATGTATGTGATCCCTGCAGCAGGGAATGGTTCTTTAACAATAGATTCTGTTCTTCATAGTCAGGGTGTGTTAAATAGAGTGTGGATTAGCTGAACCGAAGAGTCATTAAATGAAGATGACTTAGGCATATAGTGTCAGGACAGATGACTCTGACAGTTTTTAAATTTAAATTGCAAGGATTGAGTAGCTATCAGGACAAATTTTAGCAGCTCTGAAGCTATTTTTGCATGAAGTACTTCTTTCAACCATGCCCATTTTGGGGGGAAACACATCTAGTTTTCTTTCTTTGTACCTAGCCTTGGCAGTTCTCTTACTTTCCATTCTTCTTCGTGTTGTTTTCCCTGACTTTCAATATGAAGACTTAAATTTATTTTTAAAATATGCCTTTTAAAAGAACTAGTACCTGCCAGATATTGCAGGTGAACTCTTCACTGGCATCCCAGTTACTCAATATATTTGCATTGTAAATCCAGAGTTCTTGCCCTGATGTACAAGGCATTTGGAACAATCTATTTCAAGAAACTAGTTTGCTTCTAGTTATAAACCATGTTGAATAATATGTAGTTTTTTGGGGCATTTTCCTTACTCCCATCATTCAAGTACAAGGTTATGAGCCCTATGACTGCCTTTCTGTGTTGGGCCCTTATGATGGTAGCTGTAGTGCTATTTGTGTCTCTCCATAGGGCCTTATAGCAGGGCACAACACTTACCTGAGTGCCTTCCACCAAACATCCTGAGTGGTAGTGAAACCTTTCATACATTTGGTTAGGCTTGATTGTTCTCCCTTTCCAGACAGCTTGGAATACAGAATTCTGCTTGGGTTTTTTATTGTTTCATGAAACCTAGGGATAGGAGACATCATTAGATCATTTAGTATGTGTTTATTTCAGACCCTTACAGGCAAAAGTCACTGAAAAATACTGATTCTTCTGGCTTGTTGTGTTTGACTTGGACGAGGGATAGACTTGAGCTTTGTGCTTCTTTTTATGCAAGATATGATATTGATCAGAAAGCCTTGAGATGCCTTCTGTTCTTCATGCTTTGTTCAGACAAATAATTTTACTATTACATAGTTATACCTGAATTTCAGTATGGGTTTCTCTAGCTGTAGCTTTCAGTTGTCCATTACTAGCATTTGTCTGTGTTTAAAATGTTTTATTTATCTGCAGGTTTTCTTAATATAAAGCATTTCTTTAGCCCTTAATTTCTGTGGATCTTTTGTACTCTAGTTTTCCAGTGTAGCTGTAAGTCTTAGGGGTTGTATTTAGTATAAAGTTTGTCATCTTCTGATTATAAAATCATGTTTCTTCTGTTACTATTGTTCTGTTGACAGAACCACAGGTTACCTTAGTTCCCATTTCTCTGATAGCTCATTTCAGATAGCTTGCCCACTGTAACTGCAAGCCCTTGTATCCAAGGTTCCTTGCACACTGTTCCTTGTAAGTGCAGGTATGGCACAAGGCCCTTAACTGTCATTTTCAACAATGCTTTTGATTTCGTTGGTCTCACAGTACCAGCCAGTCCATGTTCCTATTTCTTCTTGTGCTTTCCTCTTCACTGTAAACTATTTCGACCAAATTTCTGGAATTGAGTACTATACTGAATGTGGCTTTCCTTTTACTTCCAAATAATTGACAAATATCCTGGATAATTGTGTTTAGTATTAATCCCTGCCAAAATGCAGTGTTGACATGTCTGCTCAGTAATGATTTGCTGACAGGCAGGTTCAGGGAAAATGAATTCATACAATGCATGTTTTTTTGGTCGATGTGGGTGTGAACGTTCTGATCACTTAATTGTTACCTCTGAAGCCTAATTATGGCAAACTATGTATCATCTGTTTCACTGATTGTTTTGGCAGGCCTGCTGAAAGGATTTTGAACTTGCAAGCTCATGTGCTTTTTTTCAATTGTTTCAACTAGGCTGTATGATGCCTCTCCCTACAAATCTTGCTTCAGATTTTATGGAAAATACTCCACTAACATGCAGTGTGTGAGGCTCATTTGAAAGTGGCGTACTTGTTTCATAATATGTTTGTTAGAAGGCAAATTAGCTCTCAAATATTGGAGCCTTGTTTCTAACCCTTTTGTGTTTTGGAAGAGTTGGAAATTTTGGGAAGGATAGATACTTAGAGAAAAAGATGGAAGACACCAAAAGCTACGGCTTGTGAGAAGCGTTTTGTAGCTGAGGATGCATTCATCTCCAAGCGTGTCTTTTGTCTGTTTGCTCAAAAATAAACTAGTTTGTAGGTCCCAGTACAGCTATGTGTCTGTCTCTTAACTTGTGATGCATTCATATAATTCCATTGACTTTATTATGAGTACAGAAATGTGTACTTTTTAAACATGTGTGTTTGCCCCATATTTACCTCAATACTGAGTAGAGTTTACTCTGGTTTTTTTAATAGACTGTCAGAACCTTAGTACATTTTTATCCAGACTTTTGTGTTCTTTGTGTTCTATCTGTGTTGCTGTATATGCAAGTGAATTTTTCTCTGTCATGTCTTAAACATGTTTTAATGCTGTAAATGCTTTGGTTGCCTTTCATAGTTACATAGGTAAGTGAACAGTGTTGAGAAAAGATCTCAGTGCAGTATCTTGCTGACTTGCCAAAAAGATGTTTGCTGTTTACCTCTGTGTGTGGTCATATTTCTTGCTTATCAATGCATGAGATATCAGGCAGTCTGTCCTTTGATTTTTCAAGACATCACCATTTTTTTTTACTATATTTTCCATGAATTCTTGTTCATGCTTAAGGCTTAGAAGCCTTAGAGGGAGCTACAGCTTGATATGTCATACTTTCTTTGCAGAAGTTCAGCACTTGTTTTTGGTTTATTTCTTTCTATATGAAGCAGATGTTTTTTCTGTGAAAAAAAAAATCTCCAAATTCTTTGTTGGCATCAACTAACATGTAAAATCAGTTTCTATTTTTCTGAAAACTCTAAAATACAAGACCTCTGATAGTTGTTATGGAAGAATCACCACTGTGTTATTACAAGGCACTCGATCCAAAAAGACTAACTGATTCCTCATCTGACAGCTGGTGTATCTTAAAGCAGCTAACCATTAGCCAAATTATTAATTCTGCCACTGATAAAATTTATGTATTCTGGTAAAGAACCTGATAGTTCTAAAGGTGAAGAATACTCATAGAAAATTAGTATCCTTGCAGTATGAATGCAGCAAATAATAAACCAAAACTTGTTCTGCTACAGGAGGACTACAGCTGTGTAAAAAGTCATGAACCATGTAAAATACTGATCATTTTACATTGGAGTGGTAGATATCAGTCAATTTCAATTGTGCTTATGATCTTGGATTCCATTTAGTTTCTTGCCTATTTTCTAATTCTATTTAATAAACTAGAAAAGTTACTACACTGTAATTTAGCAATTAAAGTACATAATATTCCCAGAAAATAGCAATGAGAGGAAGCTATTAATTTACTCTGTTAAGCTGGAAGTCAGGCTCTGTTTTTACCAAGATTGTTTTCTCCCCACTGCATGGAGTTGTATGAGCACCAGCAACTCTGGTCATGTTCAAGGTTTGCTGGATGTTGGTGCATGCATAGGGCATAGTGGTCTGACTGGGACTCCAGCAGGTTAGCAAAGAACTGAGAAGAACCTGTAAAATCCTTTTCTGTATGTTTTTCCTGTACTTCAGTCAGGTTTACGTGTAACAATATTAGAACAATATTTGAGACTGGAGGAGAAAAACTCATTTTAAAAGCCTGTTCTGTTTAGTGGATGGCCTAAACCCAACACTGTTAGAAGATGATGCTGAGTATTAAGGGAACACTTGTGTTTCAAAACTCTAAATCACAGCTGCAGTTGTCATTACTGTCAGCACGATCAAGCACATCCTTACTTTAGGTTTCGGTGGTGGCAGCTGCACCAACTTCCTGGCTGTCTGTCAAGCCTTAGCAGATACAGGATTCAGCTGTCTAGGCATCATCTACAGTTTGGAAAACCTGATCCATATTCTCATCAGGGGAAAGCACCAGGTCAGGTCGGAAGTGTCTTTTGGGCTGCCAGTTGAATTGCTGATAATGAAAAGATAACATGAAAGGGGAAGATTTTCTTTCTGGGTGTCTCCTGTGGACTTTTGTTGTTAGGGTGAAATAGTTTCAGTGATCTGTTTTGCTTTCTCTGTCTTCACCTGAAAGAGCAGCAGTGCTTGGCTGCCTTAAGTTGAGGCTTCATACATCTAAACATAACTTCTGAACTTCCTCCATCTAAAATCTTTTATGATGTTAACATTAAACCTCTTTTAAGTGCTTTCCCATTCTAAAAAGCAACTGTGGTACAACTGTTCTCAAGGGGTTATTTGGAGCCCTATGTAAAAGGTGCTGTGACTTCAATTCTACTTATTTTTTATTAATTCAGTATGACAGCCATTGCAGTATTTAAGGGATAGGCTGAACTCCTTCATCTTTTTGTATATGCATGGGAGACAGTAGAGATAAGGCTTTTTTAATGCTGGTTGAGTGCTTGTTTGAGGTTGTGCAGCCATCTTCTCTAGGTGGGATTTCTTGTTCCTTTGATAGCCAGCAAACAGCAGGATGTCTTATCTGTGTTAGGTCTTCCTCTGTCACTTAATTGCCCTGAGAAAGCCTAGATACTGTCTTTGATACCTCATTTTAAAGTGGGGTGCAATGTCTTCTGGAAATACTGTTGCAGATTTACTTCCAAAACTACACAAAGAGCCCAGATGTCCTATTTGCAGGCTGTGCTCATAGTTTTAAAACATTGGTTAGAAGCATACAGGTTTCAAGTATTTGCATATTTTGAGAGGGAAAATTAATAAACAGTAGCTGATGGGATGCCAATTGTCGAGGTGTGTCTCCACTGTTAAGTAATTCCAAGTGAACACACTTGGAAATGTGCTTAATAATTTTGAAGGATTGAAACACTGTGGTGAAAGTTGTCCTTTAAGTTAACTTCCTATAATATTTTTGCCCGTACATGTGTTTGCAGCTAAATAGCTGATGAAGCCATTCCTACTTATCCATGCAAGTCTTAACTCTGATTCCATAAGGTATTACACATGGCAGTTTTGGGCTAAAATGAGAAAATATTTAATATATGTGATTTGATTATAAAAATTACCTTATGAAATAGACAAAAAGAATTTTGCACCAGCATATTAACATCTGCAGAATGAGAAAAATGCTGGTGTCAACAATTTGGAGTTTTCACTTAGTTGTGTTTTTTTGGGAGTATCTGGCATTTCATCGTATTTCCTATGTGTCCTTACAGAAGGATGCTAAAAAAATTCCAAATACAAAGTTTTACATAATATTTCATTTACTGAGAGTAATTTGCCAAGCAAAGTTAGAGATTTTTCACAAAGACAGGTCTCTGAACAACATGCAATGAAACTGAACAATGAAAAGTTTAAAAGATTGCTAGTCATTCTGTGAAATTGCAACTATATGAATTTCCTGTTCATTTTGGACTTATGAAAGGTGCCATGAAACATTTCTTTCTCACTTCATTGTTTTCTCAAATGTTCAGTTCCTAGGAGTTTGTCGAGTCTTTGGAGTCTTTTCACTTGCTGTTTCTGCATGTATTCTATTGGGGAAAGAAATTCTGCATCAGAGTCTGTAGGAAAGAGTCCTCTGTCCTCTTTAGGAATCTTTTAAAGAAAGTTTCCATGAAAAACAGGCATTTCTCCTCTGAAGTATTAGAGCATGCTTGCAGAGGCAGATAAGCTGATCTTATGGTCCTCCTCTGTTAATAAGTGTCATCATTCTTTTCCTTGCCCACCACCTTTAAATTACTTGGATTTTTTCTGTTTGTTGGAGTGTAAAGAGCAATATTTTACTAGTTTAGTGAATTGAATTAGTTTAAGTGATTGAGTGACTGTTGAAGCACAATAGAAGAGAGAGGAGCACAAAAACATGCAGTGGAGAGTGGAAAGGTAGAGAGTCAGAGCACCTCCCTCTTTTGGTTGCACTGGGCTCTTAGATCCGGTCTTTCCAGTTTAGAAGACTCTAGTTATTGTGAATACAGCATATTTTTAGGAGGAAGAAAGCTAAAGAGTCCCACTGGGCATACCCGAGGTTTCTGGATGCTTCCTGAGTGTTCAAGCTTCTCTTTCTGCTCTTCATCCTCTTCTCTTTTCTGAAGTTCTGTCAATTTTCCATCTTAAATCTTTCTTTTGAGATCATCTTATATAACTGGGGTGGTTTCAGTTGCTGGGATTTAGGTTATTGTTCTTCCACCTTCCTATCCCCAAAGTTGGCTCCTCCCATTTAATACCGTTTGAAGGACAGAGCAGAAACCAGTGAACTGTGTAAGAAATGTGGTCCAACATTTAAATCTTGATACATGTCTAAGTGCTAGAACAGAGCTATGTGTAGTTGCACAAATCTGAGACTAGAGAAGCCATCTCTTGACTCAGAAGCTTTTATTCGGCATAGCTGACCATAAAGTAGTACAAAATTGTCTAAAACTCAGCAGTTTCTCTGAAGCTAGCTGCCCTTTCAAAATCCTGACAGCTCCCTATGCTTTCGCCTGTACTAATCTTCATTGCCAGGTGGTGTAGCAGTAACAAGAGCTAACTGTGATTTTGAGGAGCTCCTCTTTTGGCCCTCTAAAACATAGCTCAGAGGGGGCTAAGTGGGTGCATTGTCATTTACCTCTAATAAAACCAAAATTAGTATGCAAAACTGCGATTATCTTTTTAAAAAAGAAATTGAAGCCTCTTCCTCAGTGGAAATTTTATTGAGAGTTAAGGAACTAAACCTGCTTCTGAATTGCACTTCTCTGCAGTACTAGTAGCATTACTTTTTCTTCTTTTTAACTTTTGTATAGAGGAGAAGAAGCCTAAAGTCAAGAAACCAAAATCAGAATTCCCTGTATACACAGCTCTGGAATCAAATGCATATATACCATCATATGATCATGGAGCTTCAATTGAAGAGATTGAGGAACAGATGGATGATTGGTTGGGAGGCAGGAACAGAACACAAAAAAAGAAGGTAAGCTCAAAATCTTTCCTGTTGTTATATATTTTAAATGTTGATTCATATGCTTACCTCTTAGGAAAATGGAACACTGTGTGTATGCCACCTCCTTATTCATACAAAGCGAAATCTAGAGAAGTATTAATTGTCTGGCAGAAATATAACAGAAGAAATTATATCAATGTTCAGTGCAATTTGTGTAATGATATTGGAAATGCTGTAGTAGGATGTCATTGATTAAACTATATGAAAGCTCTCTATGGCTTCTAATATAAATACTCTTGTTCACTTGAAATTAGTAGAACATAATGCTGTCAAGTTATATGAGGCTTGGTTCTTTCTCTTAATTGTGGTTAACATTTTGCTTGCAAGAATAGATTCTTCTCTATTAAGAAAAAAGCAAAGGAAATAGAAGAAATCTTTGCTCCTTAATATGCAGGTGTAGTCTCTTTTGATTATGGAACTGCTTATGTACTTTGTGCATTTCATCTGAAGTATGGAAAAGTCCTAACAATTTGATTTAGGCCTATTGTTAAGGTTCTTTCTACTCAGAGATAAGGATTCTTAGTGGCAGTTAGAATAATTGTGCTCTGGTAAATTTTATTAAATCATACTGCCTTGAAAATGTGTAGTTTTCATCTTAGAACTGAGATGCACAGATGACATAAATGCTGTAAATTGGTCTCGTGACTTGGAAATCTGACTTCCTAGAAAGACAGATGAGAATAAGAGTGTTTGAAGTAGAGTTGGGTTGGTTTCATGCTTGACCTCCTAGATCCCCAAATGCACTTTCCCTCTGACAGAAATTGAGTTTGTCTTTGGATTTCCATGAAAATGAAGGAATTGTATAAGACTGGGCCTATTCCATCTATAAATTTGCACCTTCTACACAGAATATATAGAAGTTGTCTTCAGAGACACTGCTAAGTGAACAAGTTGTAGGTACACCCTTTCATCCTCAATGAAACTAACTTGGTTTGCTGCACTTAGAGCTGGAAGTTCAGTATTGCATTTCATCACTTTGATTTATGAGTGTCTTTTTTAAATTATGTTCTGTTACAAAAGGGGTTAACATTTTAGGGACAAGCAGGCAACTTGTAGGTGTACAGTCTGGGGAAAGTGTTTGACCTGAACAAACTGTGATGAGGTGTGCTTCCTTTCCTTGACAGCTAATATATTATCATGATGCAACGTTGGCATTTAATACAGTAGTGGAGAGAAACAGATTCATAAACTGAACAAAGAAATGGAGAATATATGTTACTGCCTCTCACAGACTGTAGGAGCCATTTATATGTTGTAATATGAGAATGTCTCTGTCATATGAGTTGTAATAAGCTCACTGGGAAAATGGTTGTACCACAAGTGGATTGTTCCTAACTGTCATTGGACACATTTTCCATTTTAGAAATATGTAGTTTCCTTCACATCATAGATGTGAACTGGGTCAGCATCCCTCTGGGGTTTTTTTTTCCTCTTCCATGGACATGAAATAAAGTGGTGTGTAACAGTCACCTCTTGATTCTGCTTGTCTTAGGAAAAAGTTACTCTTTCACAAATCATTTTGCCATCAGACTTTCTCTTGGGATAGTCAGTCTTCACTCATAAGGAAGCCTGTTAGCTTTTTTTTTTTCCCCTCTAGTCTTTCATGGTAGCTCAAGGATGTGGACTATGTACAGCCAACCAACCTTGCAAGCAGTTATCCTTGTGCTAGGATCAAAGTGGCTTGATAAAGTAGTATGTTACTTTGTCATCCCTCCAGGAATAAGAAATGGAGTTGCTGTCCCTCCTGTTGGTGTCCCAAGTGTAGATGATTGCAATTAATGTAATGCTGTTCATTGATGACTTTGCACTGTTGACATTTGTGCTCTAGAGGTGTCTGTAATCCATGGAGTAGTGTTTTGGAAGTGCTGTGCTGTGCAGAGTGTCCAGCTTGAAAAGTTTACATGATGTTCAGTTGTTAGGGCTGAAGTAATTCCCTGTGATTTTTTTATTATTATTTTTAAAAATTTCTGTTTCCATAGGATGTAAGTATAAAAGTAGATAACGAACAGGCTGTAGAGAAGAAAACAGCTTCCTCCTTAGGTATCATAAAATTATCTACCAAGGGAAGTAGAAAGAGGTTTTGAGTTATTTTCATAAGACTACATAGCTGGCTGAAAACATCTTTATAGCATATTAAAGTTATTCTTCTGTCCAAGTTGGAGAACACACTGAGTTTATGTCCACAAGGAGCTTGGGAGCTTGTCTTGCAGTGTTGTTACTCTCTGCTTAGAACTGAATGTTAAAGGAAGTTAAAGGGATACTTGGATAATATCAGTATTGCAGAACTGAGAGCTAACGTTCCTGCATGTTTCTGTAGCAGTGATCCATCCACCTTTGGAACTTTTTGTATAGTTTTGATCATTGCACTTTAGGGGGAAAAAAAAGAATAGTTAACAGAAATAGTAGATCAGCAATAAAAATTAATTTAGGGAATCATATTTGTGAGAGAAGGTTAAATTGGAGTTTTAGACTAGCAAAAGGGAAATTGTTGGGAAATAACTGGATGCAGTTTGGTTTCCAGTCCATTCTGGTTTTGTTTTAGGTAAAATAATAATTTTTTATTGCTTACTACTTTTCATAAGTTCAGAGAGCAAGAAATACTGAATTTGGTTTACAGCCAGGGTGCTTAAATTCAGATTTGGGAGCACATGTAGGGGGAGGTGCATAACTGGAGCATGTTACCTAGACCATTTTCAAAACCTTTCCATCTATCCTGTTTTTAAACTCCATCTGTTGGAAATGGTGCAAGCAGACTCTACGGTATTTGAGAGCATGGCAGTGCAGTAATGGGACTCTAGAGGGATTTTTTTTCTGTATAGGAAATCATGTACTTATCTAGGACTAAATTACGTATTCATATTGCCCTGTTTATACTGTTCATGCAAACTGAGTATGAATGTGAACCTGAGAGGAATTACTAGAAGCTCATTCTCATGCTGATCCAACAAAATTCTTCAAAGCAAGTACTAAAAGAGTTTCTTTCTAAAATAATTTTTGTTTTGTCACTGAATGTTTGTGCTCTGTTTCTGAGAGGGAGAAGATCTGCAAGAGGCGATAAGTAGCTTAATTTACTTAACTTGAGCTTCTAATTTTTTTTTTCCTTTGCTGCTAAAAAGTGACTGGTAAATGTGTTCTGTGTATGCTTGTTAGGAATCAAGAGAAATTTAGAGGGAATGGACTTCCTTCTAGGTGTCTTATTTTGTGGTCTGAATATGTTGTTAAGCCACTATTGCAGTACTTAGTAGCCATTTAACCCTTTACTTTCCTGTTGAGCAACCTATTACGTGGAGCTGGAAGAAAGAAAAGCAACTTATTAGAGGACCTATTTTGTTACATCTGATCTCATTCTGTCATTTCTGCAAATATTCATGGAAGAATATATGTGTTCACTGTTTTTGGAATCATTCTATTGATGAATCATTTCTCTCCCAGTGGGATTTCTCTCATATTCTTCTGATTTCATTTTATGTGATTTGTAACTCACATCGTTTTCATGAGAGTTCATTGTTTATGTGAATAATATTGTTGTTGGATGAAAATCTTGGCCCTTGAGAAATCAATGGGAGATTTATCATTGTCTTCAGTGGGACCAGGATTATAATTCCTTTTGGTTTACAGATTCCTCATCTTCTCCACTGGAATCTCCTTCATTCCATGTCATTATTTGACTCATTCATCTCTGAAGATAGAGTTCCAAGTTCTGCCTCAATGAGGGGTGAATACTTTTGACCTTTTGATATTTCCTTGCTCTGTAAAGGGAAGATAAAGGTGGAGAAAGACAGTGCCTGATCCCTTCCAGCTGGACCAGATGTATGGATATAAAATTATGTTTCTCATTATTTTTGTTTTTCATGTTATCCTGCGGCACTTCTTGGCATTTGGGTGTTTTTGATATTGCTGGAGGACCTGGCTTGATTTTACTAAAGCAGGAGTAGTAAAAACTATTTTTGTGCACAGAACTCGGGGAGCTTAGGTAACATACATCTCCAGCATTTGCTATGCTTTTTACCTTTAAATTAGGATTATTAAAAATACCGTGAAACAAAAACATAAGTAAGAATTGTTTTTACACAGTTTATTGGTGGGTGCTGGAAATGTGGTAGTTACCCTTTTTTCCCTAAATGTCTGACTGTAGGTCCTGATCATCTGGTACTGAACTCTTTTATGGTTAAACTGCAGTTTGTGTTTTTATTTTTCTCAGCCTGGGCCATCAAAGCACTCTGAAACAGAGATAGGATATTGATAACTGTGTGAGCTTTTTAGTCATTAAGGTTTTATTTGAAAGCTGGCTGTGGAACAACAGTTTAAAATAACATTAAATGTACAAAAGGGATCTCTCTGCTTTATAACATTAAAAGACAAAATGCTATACAAATGCTGAATTTGTATTTTGTTAGTTTCAAATGTATAGATTTGATAATTAAATCTTGGTCATTTTAGAATCTTGCACGTTTCGTAATTGCCAGCTAGTCTGCCACCTGCTCTCTTCTGCCTTGAATCTTCCCACATCTGTGCTGCTTTGAAATCTGAGTATGCTTTTTCCTTAGTAGCAAATAATGTGGTGCCTGTTCTAATCAGACGTCGTATGACGGATTACCTGAATACAGTTTCCAGGCTTTTAAAAAATGTTAATTTCTTAAGCAAGCAGTTTGTGTCTTAGCAGGATTAAGGTGCTGTGCAAACCAGATGTTTAAATAAATTGGTCTTTGAGGGGAAGGGTTATTCTGTTTTAGTGTGCTGCCTTGGGTCGTGTAGTTTTGAAATAACTTTCTAAGCAATGGAAGAAATAGGGTATTTGAAAAGAGCGTCTATATTCTAATGTTCTTTTATTCTTGGGACAGGTATAAGTAAGCAACAATCAGTCCAGGATTCCTCATGGCATCCTGCTACTGTGCCTCAACCCTGACCCAGAGGGATTGCTGTGGGTCGAGAAAGTAAATCACTCTGTGTGCCCATTGAATTTAAGGTTC